CAAAATAAATAGGTTACTAAAATAAATTTTTAAAATATTTTTTTATTAAACTAGCCATCTAAGAAATATAAAATATACCCATGAACAAATGCATATCATCAACCATGAAATAAAACAAGACCAAATTGTGAAAATTATTGCTTTTGCAGGTTTGTTTACAATTTTATTTTATTCATAGCAAATAGTCCCACAATAAACAAATATATAATTTTTTTCTTGTGATTTTATTTTTCTCATGTTACAGTTTAAAGATTATTTTAATGTATTTTGAAATTAAGATTTTACAAAAGTGAACTATTATTTTTTAATGAATATAATGAATTTGTTAATTTTATTATTATTTTCAAATATCATATCTGTTTGCAAAATAGCTGTTATCTTTATATGTGCAAAGATTATTGAAATAATTTTTATTTAACTATATTCTTTTTTCAGTTTTATATGATGTTAAATATCTGATAAAAAATTTCATTTCTTTTAATGTTGTTTTCGAAAAATTATTTTATGTTAAATGATATCAATTTTTAGATATCTGTTAAGGCATAATTTTTCAGATTATAAACTGTGTTATTTATATTATTAATTATATATTAGTATAAATAGTTTTGAAATTTTAAATACAGGTACTGGAAAAACATCTACTCTGATTGAATATACAAGACTTCGGCCACATATGAAATTTTTAAATGTTATGTTTAATAAGTAAGTATATGTAAATGATAAACTTATATTAATAATTTATGATCAAACTATATTATTGGTGTATCAATTGAGAATTACTGATACAGCTAGGAATATTTGCTGAAAGGAATTTTATATTAAATTCAAGATATTGTGAAAACTTTTCTAATAAAATGATTAGTTAATTTTGATTTGAATGTATTAGAATATATAAATATTTTTAATAGTAAAATAGAACAAATAACAACACGGTTTCAAAATTACTAATAAACTTTTTAAAATTAATTATTATGTTATATAAAATATTATATATCATTGTTTCAGAGATATTTTACAGATTAAATTAATTATAGTAGAATCCATATTATTCAAGTAAATGTGGACTGATGTTATCTTGGATAACTGAAACTGCAGATAAAATAGATGGCCACAGCTGTTTCAGATTAAAAATTACATATATAAAAGATTTATGTGATACATCACTTTGAAGTTATAGTGAATTTAATCATTTATAAGAATAACAATTTTTACATAATTTTTTATATATCTAATAAGTACAATAGTTTTAAGAATAAAAATGTCTATTTTTGTAGTTACATTTTAATATTAACAATTCATCTCATATTGAAGTTAAATGATAAAAGTTAACTAAAACATATTATATTACTATAGCTTCTTTCCTCTATTATAACTGTTACAAGTTTTTTTTGTTTTAATACACAATTAAACATTTAGGGCTTTATCACACTGACTAAACTGACCAGAGAGATTTATTAGTTAATCATATACACCCATTTAAATAAATACATTAACTTTTATGCACATAATTACTAATCTAAAATGCATTTTGGGTTTTGTAATGGCCCCTCTTCAGTTAGACAATTTGGTAATTTAAATCAGACATAAAAACTGACAAAGAAACTGGAAATATATACTAAAACAACCACTTCACACCTAAGCGATAATTCCAGCAAACAAAAACTAAAAGGTTTAATGTTCAAACGTTTTTGGCCGTCTTTCAGAGGTCCTCGTCAGGAAAAATCGCATAGAACAGAAAAACAGCTCTATCTAACAGTTTTCGAATATAGCTGTGTTCTAATTTTTAAAATTTAAACGATGTTGACTACAACAATCGTTCCGTATTACAACATATAATTAAATATATTTATAAATAAAGTTATAAATAAATACAATAATAATAATATACAGTATATGGTGTTCATATATACAATACTATATGTGTTATTAGTAATATATTCATTGTTAAAAGTTAGCCCGATGTATAAACGATGTGCGATAGGGAAAAATTGTTTCCTTTAAAAAATCATAGTTCTGCTTTGTGGCTTTGTAAATAATACTTCCATGATTGTGGAACTGGAATATAGTCGGCATCGATGCAACCTCCCTTCATGCCCGCTATATAAATTTCAATAGCCTCCAACGAACGTAAGTCGTGTTGGTCAAATGCCCTGTGTAAAAGCGTAGCTTCATCCCAACAAGGAGAAACCCCGGGTTCGGTAGCATACTGGGCTAGTGCAGTATTATACTTTCCCTTGGACACATCATACTTGTGGTCTCGTATTCTAACCTCTAGAGATTGACACATGGACCCGATGTATGTTATACGTCTATTGAAGCGACTGTCTTGCAATGGAATGCAGTACACTCCTGGCGCTTTCTTGTCTTCAGACTTGTCTCTTGCATTAGATAATATTCTAAAAATGTTCTGTTTTCTCCTATAAGTTAAGCACAAGTTTAAATCCTTAGCAATTCTATTATAAATTTGTTGGAGGGATGGTTCGTAAGCTATAACCACCTGCTTGCGCTCTGCATCATTAAGCCTCGTGTCGGTGGTAGTTATTGTAGATGGCTGGTTGGCAGCGAGCCTGTTTATTAAGGACTGGTGGTATCCGTGTGCAGCTGCTATGGACTTGTCGATCTNAGATTAAATTAATTATAGTAGAATCCATATTATTCAAGTAAATGTGGACTGATGTTATCTTGGATAACTGAAACTGCAGATAAAATAGATGGCCACAGCTGTTTCAGATTAAAAATTAAATATATAAAAGATTTATGTGATACATCACTTTGAAGTTATAGTGAATTTAATCATTTATAAGAATAACAATTTTTACATCATTTTTTATATATCTAATAAGTACAATAGTTTTAAGAATAAAAATGTCTATTTTTGTAGTTACATTTTAATATTAACAATTCATCTCATATTGAAGTTAAATGATAAAAGTTAACTAAAACATATTATATTACTATAGCTTCTTTCCTCTATTATAACTGTTACAAGTTTTTTTTGTTTTAATACACAATTAAACATTTAGGGCTTTATCACACTGACTAAACTGACCAGAGAGATTTATTAGTTAATCATATACACCCATTTAAATAAATACATTAACTTTTATGCACATAATTACTAATCTAAAATGCATTTTGGGTTTTGTAATGGCCCCTCTTCAGTTAGACAATTTGGTAATTTAAATCAGACATAAAAACTGACAAAGAAACTGGAAATATATACTAAAACAACCACTTCACACCTAAGCGATAATTCCAGCAAACAAACAATAAAAAAGGTTTAATGTTCAAATGTTTTCGGCCATCTTTCAGAAGCCCTCGTCAGGAAAAATTGCATAGAACAGAAAAAAACAGCTCTATCTCTAACCTTAGAGATACAGCTGTTTTTTCTGTTTTTTTTTCAGGAAAAATTGCATAGAACAGAAAAAAATGCTCTATCTCTAACCTTAGAGATACAGCTGTTTTTTCTGTTCTATGCAATTTTTCCTGACTTGGGCCTCTGAAAGATGGCCGAAAACATTTGAACATTAAACCTTTTTTATTGTTTATTTGCTGGAATTATCGCTTAGGTGTGAAGTGGTTGTTTCACATAGATTTTCACCATTGTATTGATAGCTCCTCATTATAAATATTTTCATTGTTTTCTATAGCAGTGTAAGTGATTATATTGTGTTTAATATAGAATAAATCTTTATTATCAATTATTAAAATATATTCAATGTAATAGCAGCTATATTAAAAAATTATTTTATTAGCTCATTTAATAAAAAGATATTTTAAGAAAATAGAATAGCTACTATATTAAAATTTAGTTATTACATGAAAACCAAATTTCCAACTTTATACTACTACATTATAAATTTTAACTCCAATAGTTTTGAAATACAGTGGTGCCTCATATAACGTATGCCTTGAATAACAGACNGTTCGTTGGAGGCTATTGAAATTTATATAGCGGGCATGAAGGGAGGTTGCATCAACGCCGACTATATTCCAGTTCCACAATCATGGAAGTATTATTTACAAAGCCACAAAGCATAACTATGATTTTTTAAAGGAAACAATTTTTCCCTATTGCACATCATTTATACATCGGGCTAACTTTTAACAATGAATATATTACCAACAACACATATAGTATTGTATATATGAACACCATATATATTATTATTGTATTTATTTATAACTTTATTTATAAATATATTTAATTATATGTTGTAATACGGAACGATCGTTGTAGTCAACATCGTTTAAATTTTAAAAATTAGAACACAGCTATATTCGAAAACTGTTAGATAGAGCTGTTTTCTGTTCTATGCAATTTTTCCTGACATTTGAACATTAAACCTTTTAGTGTTTGCTTGCTGAAATTATCACTTAGGTGTGAAGTGGTTGTTTTGGTAATTTAAACATTAGGTGTATAACAATCTATTAAAATTAGAACAAGTATATAACAAAGACAGTTAAAAGTTAAAACCAAACTTGTAAAAATTCACAACATTTAAAAAGCCATTCCTAAGCTTGTTGTAATTACAATTTCAAACACTCTTTCTCACGTTTTTCTTTTTTCTATATCATACAAAGCACTCTATTAGGTCTAATTTAATTTAAATATATTTTATCATTATAAAGTTATCTTATATTGATGTATCATCCACTAATTTTAACTTCTATTAATAACATTTATTCCTTTACATTAACTTTTCAGTGCCAGGCATGAAACCATCACACAGAAACCAGTACCATCAGTTATATACCTACATTATATAATGTATTATATTAAAACCCAATTTAAATCTTTCTAAATTATAAAAATTTTACTTACTAATGTTTATTCACACCAAACTACTAATGAGTGTATATGATTAATTAATAAATTCCTCTGGTCGGTTTAGTCAGTGTGATAAGTCCTAAAAGTTTATAATACATGTTATCATTTTAAACTTTCTTTTATTCATAAGAATTACAGTATAAGAAAAGTAGCATATTCATTTATAGGTTCACCTTGGATAAAACAGAATCTCAATTAATCAGGGCTCAAATAACAAGGGTTCTGCTGTATTTACAGTTTATCAAAGAAAAATAATACTTAAATCAAAGTTTCAAAGAATATACTGTATACAAACTAATTCACCAATAACTAGTATACAAACTAGTTTGTATACAATAATGTATACAAACTAGTTCACCAATAATTGTTTTCAAATTGAATCTGTTATTTTGTAATTATTTCCTGTTTTGTTCAAAAATATTTAAATTTTTAAAAATGTTTTTGTTTATATGTAATATCTTCTCTCTTTTAAAGCATTAAGATAAATAAGATAATGTATTTTTAATATTTTTTGTGAATATAATTAATTTTATAGTAGAAGAAAATATATTTGAATTATTCAAAAATGATTACTATTACATTTCAGTTATTATCTTATTATCATCACATTTAGTTAAAATGTAAATTATATTTTTATCGGATTAGCCTTAATTTGAAAAATAAAATTATAAATAACAGATAAAATTTTTGAAATTTAATTCTGAAATGTTTATATGTGCAAAAGTACTTTATTGAAAAATATAGTTATTGATCTAACAGTTAATTTAAAATTGAAGTTTAAAAAATTCTATTTAAAATAGTTTATGTGACTTTTGAATACAGTACTGGATCAAATATTTGGCTTCCAGAAATCTGGAAATATCAGAAAATTGGCTAGTTTTGAATTTTGCAGGCTGAAGTATAGTTGTAGTTTTCTACGTGGCTCCTTTGTTTTGGTTTCTATGTCATTCAAGTAACATGATACCACTTCCAGTGTGACTGCTTTCATACAATGTGTTAAAAATGCTTTCATTCATTACTTTTCTTCATTTATTTTTCATTCTACAGTTAATACATTAGACTGTATATACCAATATATTGTTCTGTATTTTTAGAGTTTTAAGTGGATTAAGAAAGATATTATATCAGTTAAGCTTTAATCAAATTGTACCTTTAAAATATGTGTCTTATACAACAGATGAAAAAATCATTAACATTTTTCTTGCTTTATACAGACAATCCTTGACTGTTAAACATAATGTATTCCTAAAAAAAGTGTTTGAAAGTTGAACAATATTCAGTTGCATGTTATAAAATGAATAATGTTTCCGGAGAGCTAGAATCCAAAGGAAAGAAAAAGGAAGAAAGCAATACCTTAAGGATTGTTTTCCCCTTAACATGACAACTGCTCTCTCTCCTTTTAGCTGGATCACTTTTCTCCTCTTCCTATGCTCCTGAATATCATATATGAAAGAACAAGTTGTCCAAAAAATCAATATGCAAAAATCAAGAAACAGCTGTATAATAAATTTTATGAATATGATATAAGATTTAATTAAGTAAGTTCCAAAGTTACATTACCGATATCATACAGTATTTATTGTATATCGATACAATAAGTAGTAAGAGTAGAATTGATGGTGATATTGTAATCAAGGAATAGAAATAATATAATTTATTAAAACTTTACATTATTTCTAGTACAGTAAAATAAAAAAGATGAAATAATAATTGAATTATTTGTGTAGGAAACTGAACTTTTATATATATTAATATTCTTAAATACTGTAAAAATTTACATTTTTAATATAAACATTCATTAAATATTTATTAACAATCAGTACATTATGTTGAATTACGTTTTTAATAAGAAAGCTCATACATTAACATTTTTATATCTTGAAAGAAAATAAAAATGATTAAGCAAAAATAAAAAAAATACTCTTGCTTCTATTTGCTTTTGCTTCATTCATTGTTATTATGCATATCTGCAATAATCATTGTTAAAATATAATAAAGCATTATAAGAGTTAGTACCTTACAGAATGCATTTGGTAAAATCCAGCTTAATTTTTAGTAAAATTTTAAAGTTAATTTTATATCTTCTAATAAAGTACATGATTTAATAACAGTTAATTCTGAATAAATGTATGTCTGTGTATGTCAAGTTATATTATAAATTTTTCATAGAACAAACCCTGATTTCAGTCTCTAGAATTTGTGTTGTGTATTGTGTGAGCAGCAAACTTTGCAATACATTTGATGTAGATTTTAAATTTACATAAAATTTTTAATCTGCAGTTTAAAGTTTAATATATTCAGTATTTATTTTGATTCTAGATTATATAAGAATTTAATTTTTAAAAATAAAAATATTGAGAATTTGACTGATTTGATATTTATTTGTTTTNATTGTTCCATCAACTGGATCAATTATCCAAGTGGGAGCATCTGTAAAATCACAGGGAATTCCCTTTTCTTTTGATTCTTCTCCTATAAATCTGTCACAACAATAACAGTATTAATTACAAATGGATTATAAACATTCATTAAATATTTATTAACAATCAGTACATTATGTTGAATTACGTTTTTAATAAGAAAGCTCATACATTAACATTTTTATATCTTGAAAGAAAATAAAAATGATTAAGCAAAAATAAAAAAAATACTCTTGCTTCTATATGCTTTTGCTTCATTCATTGTTATTATGCATATCTGCAATAATCATTGTTAAAATATAATAAAGCATTATAAGAGTTAGTACCTTACAGAATGCATTTGGTAAAATCCAGCTTAATTTTTAGTAAAATTTTAAAGTTAATTTTATATCTTCTAATAAAGTACATGATTTAATAACAGTTAATTCTGAATAAATGTATGTCTGTGTATGTCAAGTTATATTATAAATTTTTCATAGAACAAACCCTGATTTCAGTCTCTAGAATTTGTGTTGTGTATTGTGTGAGCAGCAAACTTTGCAATACATTTGATGTAGATTTTAAATTTACATAAAATTTTTAATCTGCAGTTTAAAGTTTAATATATTCAGTATTTATTTTGATTCTAGATTATATAAGAATTTAATTTTTAAAAATAAAAATATTGAGAATTTGACTGATTTGATATTTAAATGAGTTTATTAATTTTACAGATCAGTATGTGATTATGCCAAAACATGTTTTCCTTGCAATGTTGAATGCAGAACGGCTCATTCATTAGCTTGGACAAAAATTGGCAAAAAGTAAGATTATTATCCATTTTATTCATTATTTTCCTGAATTTATAAATTAATTAATTAGTCATTAATTATTCCAGATATGCCAATAAACTTGTTTCAAAAATAAAACCTCTTGATATAATAACATTGTTAAAAACTAAACCAGAGTCAGTTCATAAGTATCACTATGCACGTGTAGTACTAAATACAATTGAAACATTTATGAATTCAGCTGACTTGTACATTACTAGTGCTCATGTTCCTTCATATCATCAACACGCTGATTCAAATGAAATAAATATATTATCTCACAAAGATATGCTGGTATGTTTATTTTTTATTATTATTTTCCAAGTTTTATCTGTAAAGAGTAATAAGGTTTTTTGTAGAATGCTGCAGATGATGCTGAGTATCTATGGAATAAAATGAAAGATAGAAATAGTCCTGTCCATATTGTTCATGATGTTTATTTGAAACTTTATCAACTTAGTCAGCCTGACCTTTCATTTTATGATTGTATTTTGATAGATGAAGCACAGGATTGCAATGGAGGTATTTAATATATGAGAAAAATAATATTCATTTTACAATTTTAAGATATTTTGAATTGGTTCAATTTTTATTTTTTTGTTTTAATTTATTAGCAATGTTAGATTTTCTCTTGAAGCAACCATGTCCAAAAATTTTAGTTGGTGATCCCCATCAACAAATTTATGGTTTTAGAGGAGCCAAAAATGCCTTGGAGGAAGTGAATTGTACTCATACTTACTATCTAACTCAAGTATGAAATTTATTTATATTATTATGTTATTTATTTATTATATGTGAACCAACAAATACATATAATATTTATTTATTTATGTTATGACTTCTTATTTTATATTTTACATATAGTTTGTAACTTTTGAAGAATTATCAAATATATAGAAAGTTAATTAATTGAAATTAATTAATATTTGAAATGCTTCCTTGTCTCATAAATTTTATTAAAAAATATAAATTACTAATTTTAGTGAATAGTTTTAGATAAATAAAATTCTGTTTTAGTCATTTAGGTTTGGACCTGAAATAGCATATGTAGCATCATGTATTTTAGAAGTAACAAAACAAATATCTAACAAAACACTTGTAGGAGGAATACAATCAGGTTTGTATTTATTGCTTATGTTATAGTATTTTATGTGACATTTGTTTTATAAACAAACATATTTTATATATTTAATTAGGATGTATAACAGGAAAATCTGAAGGTCAGATATGCATAATTGCAAGAACAAATTTAAATTTGTTGAATGAAGTGATTCGACTCTGTTGCATACAAGAATTAAGAAGTGATGAACCAAGAAGTATACATGGACATTTAAATGGAGTAATATATTTGAATTTATATATATTTCTGTATCATGCTGCTAAGCCAGTAAACAATACTAATTTACTGTATAAAATTTTTACTTTTTTAGGGAATTAAATCATATAATTTGGATCAGATTGTTGACATTTATCATTTATTAACTGCTGGTATATATGTGTTTAATTTATTATTAATTATATTTGGAAAATTTAACTTAATGTTGTTAAATAAAATAAAAAATAATTTAAAAAAAGCTTATATATTTAATTGAACTAATCAAAATTATTATTTGTAAATTTTCAGGAAATTCAAATGATAATAACTTGATCAAAGATAAATTCATAAAACGTTTTAGAGACTTTCTCACTTTAAATCAATATGCAAAATCAGCTGATGACAAAGAACTCTTAGGAAGGATTCACTTAGTTCTTCAGCATACAGCAAATATTCCTACATATATTCAGAAAATCAAAGAAAAATGTTCATATTCTTTGGATATGGCTAGTAGGTGTTTTTATGTATTTGAATAAGTCATTAACAGTTAATTTTTTATTTAATTATTGTAAATTTTAATTCATAAAGTATTTAATTGCTATTAAAACTATTTATTTTTCAGATGTAGTTTTTACAACTGGACACAAGTCAAAGGGTTTGGAATTTGACACAGTTCGAATATTGGACGACTTTGTTTCTGACTTGGATAATTTCCAAGGACATTCGATATCAACAAGTAAAATTATAATTTATATAAATAATATAAATCAAACATTAATTTATTTTTATCATTAGTATTAATTTATTGTGACAAAATGAAAAATCAGTATTACACATAATTTTTCATAACTTTAGGGGGAAAAAATAAATGTTTAAAGGATGAATTATTTTTTAAACATTTATTTTAATTTCCTCCTAAATTTATTATCCTTTTATTATGTTAAATATATATATATCTTTTACATATTATTTCATATACCAAAATTCATCCGTATATCTATATATATAAAATTGCTTGTCCTGTCTGACTGACTAACTCACTGATTCATCATTGCCCAGAGCAAACCGCTGAACCTAAAGAGGTGAAATTTGGTACACAGTTAGGGTACATCATGGAAACGCACACTAAGAAGGAATTTCTCAAAATTCCCCCACGGGGGAGAGGGAGAGGATTAAGGCTTAACCAGAAAAATGGCTTCTACTGTACTCTTTTAGATGCGATTTTTTGTTTTTATCTGCATTTTAGTAGGGTACACTAAAGGAATGCACACTAAGAAGGGATTTTTGGAAATCCCCCCACGCGGGGGAGAGGGAGAGCATTAAGGCTTAACCGGAAGAACAGCTTCTACTGTACTATTTTAGATTTGATTTTTTATTTTTAACTACATTTAGTCTTCATTGAGTACTTAGGTATATTAAATTGATAACATTTCAGACACTGTTATAAATATTTTTATATATTTCAATTTTTTAACCAAATGTTCGAACCTTTTTAAATTTGAATTTGTTATTGCATATTGGTCCGATTATAGAATGATTGTAAACGTTCCAGAAAATTGATCAAATTGAAAATAGTTTGTTTGATTTTCAGCAATTCTCATCATTCTCGGCGGTAGGTGTTATAAAACAATTACTATGGTTGTTAAAATACTGAATATAAATGGGGTTTGCTTGCAAAACCTCCACGGGCGATGTTGCGGGTAACAGCTAGTACACTCATACACTCATTGCCATAAAAATTAGTCCACCAAAGAAGGAGTTGTCATGTCACTACAAAACTTGGCATGTAAATAAGTCTCAAGCAGATATGGAAATGATTCAGTTATAGCATGATGGCTCTTTGTGTAATGCCAAGAGAGAGCTTTAAAGTGAATCTCCCTTGGCCTGTAAAAAATGGACAAAGGCATTTTGTCTGTAGTTTACCTGTTGCATAGGGATGCTTTATCATAGAAATACCTTTATGTTGCAATTGAAGACCATTTAAGAACTAACTGGGTTTGAGAGGGAAAGGATCATTGGGTTAAGAAAAGCCAGGTGGTCATCTTGCTGAATAGCCCACCACCTAGGCCATTCAGACAACACTGTGAGAAGGTGTTGGGACCAGTTGATGAGAGGGAGCTTGCACACACAGTGCTGAGGGCATCCTGAGCCTGAGCACTTGTATGTGCAAGACCACTAGTCAAGAGGACCACCTGGTCCTCTGACAAGCATACACATAGCCGATCGTATTGTTGTCTACCATCCAGACAGGTGGCACCATCATTACAGCCCCTGTGTCTGTCAATACCATTTCAAGACACCTGGGTGAGGAACATTTGGTATCGCTGCAGCTATTATATGTGCTGCCATTGACACTACCAACCATTGCCTGCATTTGGAATGGTGTTGTGCCTGACTGGATTGAACCACAACAGAATGGAACTGGATTGTCTACAGCGATGAATCCACATTCAGTCTGGTCACTGACGAGGGCTGTGTTCATGTCTGGAGGCCCTGTGGTGAATGCCTCAATCCTGCCTGTGCTTTGGAGCAGTACACTGCCCCACAGCTGGTTTGATGTTCTGGAGTGCCATCACATACAACAGCCAGTTATCTCTAGTAGTGATCCAAGGGATCATGACAGCCCAGTGATAGGTCAGTGACATCCTGCAGTCACACGTGTTGCCTCTCATGTCAGAACTTCCAAGAGCCATTTTCCAACAGAATAATGGTTGGTCACACACAGCAAGGGTGTCACAGGACTGCCTCCACACATTGTCACACTTTCCTGGCCTGATTGCTTCCCTAATTTGTCACCAATCAAACATGTTTGGGATCACTTGGGACACCAAGTTAGACAATCTAGGAGTTTGGCCAAACTAGAGGACCACTTGCAAAAACTGTTGACTGAGATGCCACAGGACACCATATAGCATCTGTATGCCTCCATGCCAATCTGTATCATACCATGCATTCATGTTAGAGGTGGTCTAACAGAGTACTAGAACTTCCTTTTATTTCTAGTTTTTCCTGCAATAAATGATCCTTTTGCTTTCATTTTGTGATCACTTACTTATATCATCATTATACTTGCACATACAATTTCATTTGATTCTTATAACCTCTTCTTGGTGCATTAATTTTTATGGCAAGGAGTGTGTGTATATTACTAATATAAAAGCCATCATCTGTATGTGTGTGAATTCCTTATAAATCCTGCATTTTTTGTCCAATCCAGGTGAAATTTTGGATGTATTCTTTTTATGTTCTGATGGAAAGTATAGGCTATTTATTTTGTGGAAATATTAGCTATAGAATAAACGTTTTATCGATTTTGGATCAGTGATCGCACTTACGTTGCAGTGATGTCAGTGATTACATGATGTTCATGCTCAACAATGGAATTTCCTTTAAATTGCATTTTTAAATATTTTGGCAAATAGTGTATTGTAAACTTACTTCATTAAACTTAAAATTTAAATCTTAAAAAAAAATTGTTATAGAAGTGATACAATGCAACTAATTTTTAAAAAAATTTTTCCGTAGTGACCACATGACATTTTATTATTCAATTGGAAGTAATGATCTAACAAGCCCATTTTTAGAAAGTGTTATCACTCATCTAATTAATGTACATACAAGTCATCTTTGTTTNAGAAAAATAAGTTATCAGAAATCAGCCATGGTTTGGTGTGCTGCTTCGCGACAAAAACAAGCTTTAGCAATGGGGTTGTCGAATGGTGCATACTCGGTAAGTAATCCTACAATTTTTTGTTTATAGCGTATTTATACAAATTATTTCCAAAAAATATATACGTATTTTGGAAATGTTGAGTCGGATTAGTCTAGAATCGATTAATTTTATGGAAGAAAACCTTTCAATCAGCCATAGTTCGTAAACTTTACACGTGTCGGGCTGTGATTGGAACGACTCGTAAGAAATCGGATTCCTAAAAAATGGAACGTATCTATGATCTTATAGGGGGGTTGACTGTATTAACTTTTTGTGGCTGCAATTCTCAAGTTTTAATGTCTCAAAAATCAGGTCATATTAGATTCAATGGTGCATTTGAATCAAGAAAACACAGGATTATATTGATATATACAGTAACTTCTTTTTTATGTGGAATTGATATACACAAATTTGTTTTTTTGCATATATTAAATGGTTAGATTAACCCTTGGATTACAAGGGGTAGTTTCATTATTAATGCACACATTGACTAGTTTTATTATGAGATTCAGTAAATATAGTAAAAAGTGTTTAAAATGCTTTACATAATGTTTTTGTTTTCTGTTAATTGCAAATGGTTGCTTGGACACTTTAGGCAAACATCTGGGACTAGTTGGAATAGAGCACAAATTTACATGCTGCTGCTGACATGCAATTCCTGTGTAAAATAAGACCATACAGTATAATATATTTTGTACTTTATATATGTGTACAGCAAATTGCATATTTAACTCCTATTAATTATATGAAAAGGATCTAGATACACTGATCACCTTATGAAATAATAAAAAGAAAACTTGCAAGATAATAGTATAACTATCAATTGTTGCTCCCTTTCCATAATATAATTATGATAAGATGCCATTTGCAACATTTACAAAAAAATTTCAAAAGGGTAATTGTTTCTTTATTCTTAGGAAATATAAAATTACTTTATATTCCTGACCTTTTAACAGTAAAAAAAATTATTGCTTTTTTTTTATTCATTTTAATTCAGAAATATGAAAATAATTTAATCCACTTAAAGATTTTTAAAAAAGAATTTTAATCTCAAAAATCATCTGATAATTAAGTGTTGAAATAATATGTTGTCAGAAAATTTTAACAATCTCAGTTATTCCTGTAATATTTGATCATTTGATTACTTACGAAGATAACTTTTAAAAATATTTAAATGGATTAAATTTATTTCAAATCTTTGACTTTAAAACCTTTTCTTATTAACAATGTATCAGATTTAGAGTATAAAAGTAAAAATAATATGAATTTCTGAATTATAATTGTCAAAATAATATCCATTTCTAGGAATCAACAAACATATTTAATGTAGAACTTTTTGTATCAAAAATGTCCATTTATAGTACTAATGCTTTGATTTATACCAAACTGAAATGAATTGAAAATTCTGATTTTAAAGGTTTTACTATATAAATTAGAACAAATTCAATTCTTAAAGGACAAAATAAATAATGACATACTTAGCAAAGCAGATATTCTTATATAATGTTTGACCTATTTACAACCTATCAAATTGTAACATATAATCAAGAATTTAAAGTAAATCAGTTGTAAAATAAGTATTCATTCTAATCTGTCTGACCTCAATTGACAAAATATCTATTTCTACTAAAACAATATTTCTAACAACAATTAAACTTTGTTCATTTTTATCAAATTTTTTCATTAAAAAAAAAAACTGTTTCATTACTAGCTCTTTTGTGATTTGAGTGTCATTTCCAAAGCCATGCTTCTCTCAAATAACTCAATAACTTCATATTCATTTTTCTTCAGCACTTACAGTAGAACCTTGATTATCCGCCCTAATTGGGGACTGGGGTTGGTCGGATAATTGAAAAGTCGGATAACCGAAAAGTATGAAAAAATCCATTACAGTAGAGCCTCGATTATCCGACCCAATTGGGGACTGGGGTTGGTCGGATAATTGAAAAGTCGGATAACCGAAAAGTATGAAAAAATCCATTATTAGTGTAGTATATTATTATATCCCATGTAATTAGTATATCGCTATTAACCTATTTTGCGTTGAATTTTCATCGATGTTAAGCCTAACAAAAATTTTTTAAAATAATAATCGTCGCTATTGTATCG